GACTCAGCGGCCTCAACTACTTCCAGCCGCTCCGAATCGGACCACTCGAAACCAATTTGCCGCAAGTTTTTGAAGTTGGTCAAAATAAGGGCCGTAAGAAACTCTTCACCCTTCGGAATTGGGATGTTTTCTGCCGCCGAAAATGTCGTATATGTCGGCTCGTACCGAAGGAGAACGTGAGCCGCCCTCCCTTGTTTGTGAAGACTCGGATGACCGAAATACTTGAGCGTGACTTTAATTTCTGAAAGAACGGCGTCGTCGGTTGAAGGCAAGACTTTCTTCAAATCGTTTCCTGCACAAGCAAAACCATGAGATCTCAAAAATGAAGCTTTATATATATAAGAAAATAAACGCAAAAAACTATACGGCCACCTGGTTCACCCCTCCGTCTGGGAATAGGATCAAGGCGATCCTCGCCTTTGCCAAATTCCCAGTTGCCTCAGACAACGACCATAACATCATCGACTCACTTCCCAGAACTAGAAAGCATAGTCACTAATTGATGGTTGGTGTCCTTGGCCCTAAGGAAATAACGTCCATGCTGACCAGAAGACTTGGCCAAGGCATAATAATGCCGAGGTTATTCCTAAGGCGACGGTTTAGCTCTATAATCCCCATTACGATTCTAAAAAAGTTAACGTTGGCTTGGGAGGGGATTAGACCCCAATGGCGAAGGACAGCTCTAAGAAATGGGTGAAGCGGGAAACAGACTTTGCCCTCATCAATTGATAAGAGGGGGAAGATGATTGTGCTTTCATCAACCCTCTCCATATCGAGGGTGCCGTCTGTCACAAGCGACAGACGAACGTCATCAGGGATGGAAAAATGGTGTCGAAAGCCAGAGATTCGGTCCGCGGAGAGGAGGTCTTTCAGATGCTTTGCCATTTCGGTCAGCCTATAGGAGAGTACAAAACTAAAGGCAAACTAGGAAAAGGGATTCAAAGTAGAGAGGAAGAGAACTTACAAGAGACGGAGAGGTCCGTGAAGGATGAATGGAAGTTGCAGAGTTGAGTCGGAAGGCAGTCCAAAAACTATCATCCAAAAATGTGTGTTTGAAAAGACGACAAGATTTTAAATCATAATAAATGGAAGCGTACGAAGGGGCGGGAAGTTAAAATGATAACCAAGAGGCGTGTGATCTGACATCTGCGTTGGAAGGAGGTCCACTGCCGAATTTCGGTTCTGACTTTTTGAGTTCGAAACCAAACACCCCAGCTAACTGTCGTTAGTGGAGTGCTTGGGGGGCAATTGTGGGGGCCGAATATTGGGAGTCGTAAACAGGCCGAATGATGGGACCTGGAAAGTTAAATATTTACATCGCATTCGGCCCCGTCTTATACATTTGAATCCTGACTTATTCGGCCAAATAGTCGGTTGAGTAAGGGGTCGAGTGGAGAGGTTTGCAGCAAAAGAAGCCGAGTAAATAGTTATACAGCGAATCGAAAGTGGGCCTAGCCCTGAGGCCCAAGAAAGAAAAGATATAAATAGAAGAACATCAGCTAGGAAGAGGTATGTGAGAACTAGTATGCTTAACTTAAGATACAAGCAATTAGGAGAGTATACACTGACTTGTCCGTCGAAGTGCTAATTCCGGCACCCCTGACCGGAGTGTTTATTTCTTTTCAGGTGACTAGCTGAGGATCACGAGCGTCCCTAGGATCTGAAGAGTATTTCCAAACCACTTCCCCACAGACTTATTTTCACAATTGAGTTAAAAGTCAATTTTTTAGGTTACATCATCTATCTACTTTTTGCATTTTTTAAAAAAAAATCTAAAAGAAGCCATAAAAATTGACTTTTAACCTATTTTCTAAAATAGACCTTATTTTCAACATTGTTATTTATTTTTATATATTTATTAATTTAAAGAGTCTCATAATACCCTCCAAATATAATTATTCTTATAAGAATCTTGTATTATTTTTTTAGATAAAGAATCTTGTATTTGAAGCTTTAATAAATAGCAAAAAGGCTCGGTGCAACTAAACTATATTCTTATCCAAAATTAATACAAGATTAAAAGTTGATTAAAAGTTAATTTTTTGACTTTTTTAACTTTTTTATCTTTTTGTGAGGAAGTCATGTGAGAAGTGATGTGATTCAAAATGGGTTAAAAGCTGGAAGCTGTCTTTTAACTAGCTTCCCAAAAGCCCACTATATTTAGATTTTTAAAAGTCGTAAAATTTTCTATGGAGATAAAATATAGACCAGATTGTGTGTGAAATTCTTTTACAATAATTTTGCTAGAATAACTATCGTACTACTTAATTTGTCAGAGTCAGTAAAATACCATAAAATTAATAGGTTGTTTGGAATATCCTAAATAAGTGTACTTTTTGTCTTTTTGGACTAAAAAGTTGAGAAAAAAAATATGAATATTTGGGTTAACTTTTTGACTTTTTATGAAAAAATATGTATTAAAAAATTGTATAAATAAGTGTATAGGAGAAGTTAGTGATGGAATATGCCATACGAATAGAAGCGTAAGGGGCAACGCGGCAGAGGGTAAGGGTAGGAGATTGATTCTCTCATTTTCGGGCATAAATTGGATGGTGCTGTTCGGCCCATGGGGGCACACTACGAGTCCCGTTTTGCTAATCGGAACCGTTCAATGTGTAGAACTCGTCAAGTACTATATACTTGTAAAAATTCACGTTGATTGGATATCAATAGCTATCTGATCGTGTTAGTTTTTCTTGTCAACTGTTAACTATAGCACCATCTATTTTTTATACAAAACTGATTTGATCATATAGTTACCGATTTTCGATCAAAGTGATTTTTTACAGGCATATAGTTTTGGACGAGTTCTACATATTAACGGTTCGGATTATCAAAACGGGACCTGTGGTAGCCCCCACGGGCCCAACATTTTCGTCTAACTTAATGATTTTATATATGTAATTCTTTTTTTTCCCCTCACACGGTACTAAAGGGTCAATTCAGCCCCGAAAATTGTGTAAATATTGTTTGATTAAAATATTATTTATATTAATTTTTTAATATTTGTAATTTGTGAATAGTGATAACTTTTTTACTTTTTTTTTGTAATTTTTTGACTTTTTAACTTTTTTGAAACACCCCAAACCAGGCCTAATTATAATAACTAACAAATATTTTTTAAAAAGTCACTTAGAGATGCTCTTTGAGTCCCTAAATATATGCCTAAATTAATTGTTTAAAAAATATAGTAAAAGTAAGTCCCAATTTTAGGCATTGATAGTTTGGTAAATTAGTGAGTGCATAATTATTGTAATAGATATGTTAAAGTTTATGTGAAAAAAATATAATTTATTTTAATGCATTTTATAGTAAAAAAATTTAAAAATACTTCTGTCACCCTTCTCTTTCTCTTTTACTTCTCTTTCTCCTCTTAAAACAATAATTTTTTTTTTTTAAATTCTGAAATCAAATTCTAGGAAAAACATATAAATCATTTAAATTTTTTTATTATAGTCATAGTTTTTTAAGCTATTTTTAAATTATGAATTTAAATAAAAACTCAAAAAATGTAATAATAATGTAAATAAAATATGAATTAATTTATTTCCTAAGTAGTAGCTTGTTTTTCACATTACAAATAGTGGTTGCGCCCAGGCTAGATCCAAATCCATGATAGAACTTAGAGGTGTTCACGGGTCGGTTCGGCTCAGGTTTACCCTTAGCTCGTCATCTGAACTGACAGCTTCGGGTTACAGAATCAGTCACCCGTCATTGACTGAAATAGGGTTCAAAATCGACTGAATCAAAAAAATCGGTTTGATAATCGGTTCGGTTGATTTCGAAGATCTGAAGAGAGTGGACAAAATCTTCTGAAAAATGGAAATAAATTTTCAAAAAAAAAAAACCTTTAACACTTATATAAACATGTACATATATTTCTTACAATTAGAACGATAGTAGAGGAGAGACATGGGTTAAAGCAAAAGAGAGATGAGAGACTCATCATGCTTTTAACATTGCATCATCATCGTTGATCATCGCCGCAACCACCGTTACTCATCGCAGCAGCAACCACCACCACTACATCTTGGATAGAAAGAGGGAAGGGAAAAGATGGAGTAGTAGAGATGAGAGAGAATAAGAGATGGATTTGTTTCTGAAAGTAGACAGAGATGAGGGGAAGGAAATGAAATGGTGAGTAGATGAGAGAGAAGATGAGAGCTTTGAGAAACAAGAGACAAAGAGAGAGAAGAAGAGATGAGACTGTGAGTAGGTAGGTACGCAGGTAGGTAGGTAGGTAGGTCGGTGAGAGATGAGAGGAGATGAATTGTCTGAGAGAGAGAGAGAGAGAGAGAGAATAGAAAAGAGAAGGGGTGAGAATTGAGGCAAATGGGGGGCATAGAGAGTTAATTGAAAGGTCAAAAATCTCTTATTGGGAAGAGGTAATTTCTCCCTCTGGGAAGATAATAATAAATTCTTGGGAAGATAAAAGACTAAACAATTTGTTTAGTTTCCTATGCAAAAAGATTTTTCCCAAACAAGTATCTAACTTAATAATGAAAGTGTGTATGTATGTGTAATTCGGTCGGTCGGTTTCAATGGATCCGTTTATGTAAAGCCTGATCTCCGACCGAAAATCCAAAAAAATGTAAGATTGACACTCGCAGCTGACTGGGCTATTAAGCGAAACTGTCTATATCATCATTGGATCGGGCGGGTTGAATTGGTTTCACGGGTTGTTCGGATTTTTGAACACCCCTAATAGGACTTGAAGGGATTGGGCCATGAGAATTAAAGATGGATCTAGAAATGGGTCTAGGCCCAATGGTTGGGTTGTCACTTCTATAAAATAGGGGACCATCTACAGAGTCCATGTGACACATCCATATACTTTGTGTTTCCCAGCAGTGGCAGAGTCAAGAATTTAATATATGGGGCACTCATTAATTATAATCTCAAAATTTTTCTTCCCCAATCAATAACAATAACATAATAATAATTTTTCGAGCTAATATTAAACATTAAAAATTAATATTCATTAAAAAAAGTTTTTAATTTTAAACTTTTACAATTAACCCCAACGAGTTTTCATCTTTCATCTTTTGAAATCTTTCCATGATAGTATCATTGTCAATGACATCAAAAATCTCTCTCTCAATGTAGACAACCAAGTTATCATTTATCCATTCATCACCCATTCGGTTCCACAACCGATTCTTCACAATAGTCATAGCTAAAAATACCCTCTCAACAGTAGCAGTTGCTACAGGCAAGATTAATACTAAAGTCAAGAGCAAATACACCAATGGATATATTTTATCTCTTCCAGTCTCCACCATTTTCTTAGCAAGATTGGCAATTCCATTCAACCTTGATGACTCACTACTGGATAGCATGTCGATAATATATGTATTAAGTTGATCATTAACTACCAAGAGCTCCACTAAAGAAAGTTCTTGGGGATAAAATTCGATGAGATGAATTAACTTTTTCTTGTCAAAACTAGAGAAAGAGTTAAACGGATTCAAACATGTCACACAAAGTAACAACTCAGTGTTCGACTCAGTGAAACAAGCATTTAGTTCTTGAATTTGCATATCCAAAATAGTGTAGAATAACTCAGCGTGATAGTGATGTAAGTTTGTAATTTCTTGAGCATTGCGCCTTTTTCTCCCTCGAGCTACAAACACATCATCCATTTGCGGAACATCAATTTCATGCTTTTCACAAAAAGACAAAATATCATCAAGTAAAGATGTCCTCCCACTCTCCCTCATCTTTTGGAGCCGTACTTTAGAAATTTGAACTAAATTCATGGCATTAACAATATCTTGATCTTTCTTTTGTTTTTCTTGCGATAACTCACTTCTAATAGCCAATATCGCTTTCATCAAATGAAGGTTGAATACAAACTCAAATGATTGAATTGAGTCCAACAATACATTTGCTTCTGCTCGTTGTTCTGAATTTGAACCATCCTCCGAAATCATTTCAAGTACATCAATCACTGTCGAAAACATACCAGCCAAGTTGACTAAAGTACCATAATGTGAACCCCAATGTGTATCACAAGTATGTTTAAGATTAGTTTCTTGATTTAAGCCTTGCCCACTAGATAGCTCTCCAGTATTAAGTGCCTCAGCAACTTTTGTAACTTGCTTCTCTCTAACAATATCTCAGCGTTTACATGATGCTCTAACAACATTCACCACATTAGAAACCAAAGTGAAAAGTAAAGCAATTTGATCATGATTCTTTGTCATGGCTACAAGTGCCAATTGCAATTGATGAGCAAAATAATGAACATAATATGCACAGGGATTCTCTTTCAGTATAAGTGTTTTAAGACCATTGAACTCACCTTGCATATTACTAGCCCCATCATATCCTTGACCCCGCAATCTAGAAATACTCAATCCAAGTTTGGAGAATAAATTTTCCACAGCTTGTTTGAGTGAGAGAGCATTCGTATTAGCAACATGCTCAATACCCAAAAAGCGCTCAATCATTTGGCCTTTTTTGTTAACATATCGTATTACAACTGCCATTTGCTCCTTGATTGATATGTTATGGGCTTCATCAATCAAAATAGAAAAAAGTGCATCACCAAGATCTCTAATAATCACATTGATAGTTTCAAATGTGGTCACATTTACAATATCTTTTTGAATATCAGGAGATGTTAACTCCAGATTTTGTGGAGCATTGCTCAATGCAACCACTTTGACATCTTCATTATGATCCGCAAGAAAATTGAGAAGTTCAAGAAAATTTTCTTGGTTATTTGAATTTTTAGATTTATCATGCCCACGAAATGCAAGTCCTTGTCTTAGAAGAAATTTGGCACAATCAATTGATGCATTCAAACGGGTTCAATACTCAATTTGAACTTGATAAGGTTGTTTGAAAAAAAAAAGCATTTGAATATGTTGATTTTGGTTTAACAAGTCTTGACATGTACTCGAAGCTTGATTATGAGCACTATTGGGACCTCTAACATGAGTCTGAATTTTTTCTTTTTTCTTCCAATTTGAGAAACCCTCACCAACAAAAGAATCACCACTAGCTTGATCTTCAATATCGGATTTGAAAAGATAACAACATAAACAAAATGCTGCATCTTTTGCTACGCTATACTCCAACCAATTAGGAAATTCACTAAACCAAGCTTGATTAAATCGCCAAAATTTTTGTCCAAATGATTTTTGTGAAAAATTATGATTACGAGGTTGATAAGGACCTTTTTGTAGATATGCCTTATGAATTGTCTCGATCATTAGCATTATAGTCCATAATCCGAGGCTGTAGTCTTAGATCTGCAGGAAGGTCTGCTAAGTTGATTTCTATGCGACTTTGTTTTATGAAAGAATAATTATAATCTTTTTCTTGAGGAAGAGATGACTCCAACTTTGATTTTCTTTTGAAATATTTCTCCATGACTGTTTTAAAAAATAAAAATTCATAATCAAAATCACAAACCTCCACAAATCACAATCTCTAATTTTAATACAAATCAAAAAATTTAAATTTAGCACAAATCACAACAAATAAAATTTCTAATATACCTATATTATAACAAATGAAAGTCCCTAATTTAAATAACAAATGCTACAAATTAATATTTTTAATTATAGCACAAATCAAATCTCTAATTTTAGCACAAACAACAACAAACCAAAATCCCTAATTTTAATATGAATCACCACCAATTAAGATTCATAATTTTAGCATATCAAAAATTAATACTCATAATTTTTATTTAAAAATAAAAATCATAAATAAAGTTACCTGTGAACAATGAAGAGAAGATACCAAGGTTGTAGTGTGGTCCTAAATATGTGTTGTGTGATCCTAATCTGGTGAATCGCGAGTTGGTAAATTGCAAAGCAACAAAGAGAGATAAAGAAAACAAAAAAAATATAGAGACACTTAACAAATACTGTAAATAAATAAAAAAATAAAAAATTTCATTCACTTTTGGGGTTTTAGGATTTCAGCCTGCTGCCATTTTCCCATGAATCAAAAAAAAAAAAAAAAAAGTAATTGGATTGGAGTTGTGTCAGTGTGTTTGGGTGCGTGTATTAGTGTTTTTGGAAATTGGGTGCGTGTGTGCGTGTGTCAATGTGTTTGGAAATTGGGTACGTGTGTGCATGTGTTAGTGTTTTTGGGTCAAATTGGGCTGCTGTGTATATAGGCATTGCGTGTAAGCCACAAACAATCCTCAAAAAAAAAAATTTGAAATGTGAAGAGGGCACGTGATCCCCTTAGCCCCGATGTCCTTTCGCCTCGGTAGTAGATGGTGGCCCAAGGTGATGGGTGAGAGGAGAAAGTGAAACTTATTTAAAAAATAAGTGAAAACAACTTTTTTGTGTTTTGAAAACTTTGAAATCAATTTCATTTTTTAAAAACAAATATAATTATACCAAACAAGTTTTCATTTTCAATTTTCTAAAAAAATGAAAACAAAAACTGAAAATATAAAATAAAAACGTTAACAAACAAAACCTTAACTACTCAAGCCATTAAACGAAACTATAATTTTTCCCTTTGAATTCAACTACCCAAAAAGTCAAAAAGCAAAAGGGTAAAATGGTCATTTTGATTTTACTACAATATTTTATTACACATGTTTTTTTGTAAAAAGTTATTCCAAGCATACATCTTTTTTCTCTCTACTTTTTTAACTAAAAAGTCAAAAAGTGTACTTTTATAGCACATCCCAAATAACTTAGTGCAATACCCACAATTTTAAAATGTATAATTGCTTTCTCTTGTGGCTTCAATTGGCTTCTGCAAAATTTTATACATCTCCATTTTAAGCGGGTGTCTCTTCATCATTATTCTAAGCATATATTTTCCATTCCAATTATTAGAAATCTATATTATTGAAAGTGATATGACACTTTGTGTTCAATAGATTTCTAACATTTTTTCATATTTCATAAATCAACATTACTCTCACAGTATACATTGATATGAAAATTAATATCTTGCCCATTGCTACAATATTTCAAAGCAATTATAAACCACATATTTGTGTGTGACTCATATTTATGTGAATTTCACACGAATGGCTTTGTTTGGTGCAATTGTTAATAGGATATTTGCAAAATTTTTTACGTTATTTGAGATATTTTTATTGCAATTAAGATTTTTGACCTAGTGATCGGGTAGCACACGTTTATAATGTGAGATTATGAGTTCAATCCTTATGGAGAGAAATTTGATACCATATTTGTGTTACCCCCTTCTCCTACTAAAAAAAATAAATAAATCAAAAACTATTTTTATTGCATAAGTGATTATATAAAACAATGCCTAAAAGTTAACATTAATGCTGAGTATTATATCTAATTGATATATTTATTAATATGTGTGTTTGTGGTCTTAACATTATTATTGAAAAGTTAATGTCATTTTCATATCATCAAAACCAGACACATAGGCTGTGTTTGGTTTGTGTTTTAAGATAAATTTTTTAAATTTTTTTTGAGGACAGAGTATAGAATTTTTTTTAGTTTGTTTGATTGTATATTTTGAAAATAGTTTTGGAGTTTAGGAGTTTGGGATGATTTGATATTTTGTTGTAGTTGAGTAGATGTGTGTGAAAAAAAAGTGATTGAGAAGGAGAGATGAGAGAGAAAAAGTGATTGATTGATGCGTAGATAGAGAAAGTGATTTTGAAATTTTTTTTTGAAAAAATTTAAACCAAACAAAATTTAAAATTTTTTTCTCAAAAATTATATCTTAAGATACAAATCAAATTAAACCATAGTAACTATGAATGAATATAGCAGAATTGATTGCGGGGGGAAAATGTTGACATCAATAACATGTTTAGAGTTGAAAAATAAGAAAACTTAAAAAGAATCAAACAGTACTATCATGACCCGAACCCGCCCCTATGGGTTAAGGCCATAACCAGCTAGTAATCACGAGATTACCTACGACCTCAAACCAAATAAGACAAAACTCATCAGAGTAAAGGGGCCAAACGGAAGCAAATTTGAAACTTTGTCTATAGAGCCGTGCTTATTTGCACATCATAACATTCCAAACATACGTATGTTAATAACTCACAACAGAAAGTACAGTAACATTAAGTTCTATACAGACAGGATCATTCAAATTTAAGTCAGCCAAAACAATGCTATATACAGACGTACACCAAAGTCCTCGCCAACATGACAAAATAACATAGAATGGCAGAAGGACGAAGACGTGTCTCGTGCATGAGACGCAAGGGTTGACTCTTCAAAACCTTAGTTGTTCCATACAGACTTCACTGGGGCTGGGTTTGGACTTTTCTTGGCTCACCTACAAACACATGAATGAGCGTGAGCGAAAGCCCAGTGAATAATATCAAATAAAGAATATACATTGGAACAATATACATCAAACGGCCTTGGGCCCAATTTATATTTCTACTAATACATACATACATACATAGAAATATGTAAGTTAAGTAACTGCGATTCCAAACACATCATACGGCCTTGGGCCCAATTCATTAGTGTCAAACTGTTATTCGTGTCAAACTGTTATTCGTGTCAAACTGGCCTTTGGCCTTTTCAAACTTCCATATCAAACTAGCCTTTAGGCCTATCAAACTTTCATTCATGTCAATCTGGCCTATGGCCCATTCATGCATATCAAACTGGCCTCTGGCCCATTCATGCATGTCAAACTGGCCTTTGGCCCATTCATTCATGTCAAACTTTCATTTGTGTCAAAACGGCCTTTGACCCAACCATTTGTGTCAATCGGCCTTCGGCCCAATCATTCATGTCAATCGACCTTCGGCCCAATCATTTATGTCAATCGGCCTTCAGTCCAATCATTTATGTCAATCGGCCTTCAGCCCAATCATTCATGTCAATCGGCCTTCGGCCTAATCATTTATGTCAATCGGCCTTCGGCCTAATCATTTATGTCAATCGGCCTTCGACCCAATCATTTATGTCAATCGGCCTTCGGCCCAATCATTTATTCTTACAACCATTGTCCACCAAACGAATCAATGAACTTATAGGACTTACATAGAAGTAAGCAATTTGGATAACAACATAATTCAGATATCTTTGTTAAGATATTACTCACAGTGATCGGCTCGTGGATTTGCCCTAGAGCTTGACCCTACACATCATATAACACATATGGGTCACAAACGATTCAATCCGTTCTTTAATTCACAAATTCCTCTTTAGGCCTCATTCTTATCTCTTTAACTCAATTACAATGCTTAATGCATGCCTAAGAGTGCTTGCAAGTGAAAGAGAATGGAAAACGAAACACAGAACGATCGCACAAAATTTTCAGAAACAGGGTCCCCGCTCGAGCGCGTACTTACCTGCTCGAGCGGACCCATGAGGTCTGCAAAAGTACTGGTTATGTCATTTTTACGCTGGAGCGTGGAACTTGGACGCTCGAGCGGAAGTCCATCTTACATAGCTCCCCGCTCAAGCGTGGCTTCATTGGTCGAGTGGATATCATGGTCTGCAGAAAATACTGGGAGCACGAAATTCACGCTCGAGCGGCGGTTTCCCCGCTCGAGCGGACATCAAATTTCTGGGTTTTCCAGAATGTGTTCTTGAGCTCAAATTCGACATTTCAACCACATTCCTTGCATATTATGGCTCAAATCTCACATATGCTTGTACTAACATGGTATCAACACCAAATTACAACACAATGGAGTTCAATTTCACGAATTGATCACATGTATACCCCAAATTAACTCAAACTCATGCATTCAAGGTTCCTATTTCTAATACACAACATGCATGCCCATTTTGACTATTATTTTCACTTCTAATGATGCCATTAGTGCTCATTCCCATGAAACTCAACAAAAACATGCTTGCATGTGGGATTACACTTCCAATCTTTCATAATTTACAATTTACATGCTAGATTTTGTGATTCCATAGGTGTTCTTTACATGCATGCACATATCAAGCTTTGATTCCAACAAAACCAACTCAACTCATGCTCTTGGTTACAAACAAACCTTGAACACACAAGATTACACATTAAACTCATGAATTCAAGAATCAATTGCTTACCTAGAAGCCCAATCTATGGTTAATTCTTGAACTAGACTTCAAATATCCAAGCTTGAGTCAAAATTGCACAAGTTTCTCCCTTCTATCTCTATGGCCGGCTCCTTTTCTCTCTCACGACACCAAGATCAGATTTTTTTTGAGTTCAAAAGAGGCAATGAGAGTGTATATGGCCTCACACATAAGGCCCCACTATCTATTATTTAATAACATTAAATAATTGGGCACTAAATCATCAATTTAATCAACTTAATCTGGTCTGAATCAATTTTTCAATTAAACTTCACCGTAGGCTCTAAAAATTATGCCAATCACAATGGCGTAATCAATTTCGGGTTCTGTGGCCGATAAGGCCTTCAATTTAATTCCCAAAGCAGATAAGCAAACAGATATTCCTACGGTGAACAGATAGAAATTCAAAGTCGCACATTTTCACATAATGGCACCCAAAATCATATTAAACATATAATCAAACTCATAATAAGGACCAATTAGCTAATTACGGAACAGGGTTATCACAGTCTTCCCCCCTTTAGGAAGTTTGGTCCTCTAAACTTATTTCACCTTTAGTCGAAAACAATTCGGGACGCTTTTCATTCAACATTTCCAGTCCTTTTTGATAGCCATTTACTTGGTCCCCAAATCAAGCAACACTCAGTTTTCAATCAGTCAGAGACTTACCTTTTTCTTCCATACAAGGCTTGTATGGTGCCATACCGAAACTAGAGTGCAAGCTGTTGTTGTGAGCACAGTTTGCCAACAACGAATAGACTTTCCAGATTCCTTGAAAGATCTGCTGAATATATTTGGAGCATTTCTCCCAAAAGTTCTTTCTAATTATACATCAATTATCGGATGGGAGGTATTGCTGACTCTCAATCCAGTTCTCATCGCCTCTAGAAGGCTTGCCAGAATTCAAACACATTTTAGGATCCCTGTCCAAAACAATAGATACTAGGATCCCATGCAAACGAGCAATCTTGTCGATGTAAACAGTTGCTAGTCTATAAGCATCACATGAAGATTTTACAGGGAGGATACGAATAAACTTAGTAATCCTATATACAATAACCCAAACGAGACTTATACCCTGGGTGTCCAAGGCAGCCCCACAATAAAATTCGTAGTCACATATCCCTATTTCCATTCCGAAATAGAGAGAGGTCGAAGTAGTTCCGCTAATTTCTAATATTCGACTTTGACTTGTTAGCACCGAAAATATTTAGACATAATTTCACCAATTGCCCTCTTGAAGGTCGGTTACCAACATATTTATTTCGGATGCCAGCTAACTCTATCACAGAAGTTCGGTCTATTCCCTTGTCACAAAAGTTCAATTCATTATTCAATAATTCCACAATTCACAATCCGATTCGGTATTTAGTTCAGTGACTCATCACAGTTATCTAAGGTTAACCAAAAGTCTTTAGGAATATGAAGTGGATCTAGATACGGATTCCCGAATCAACAAAGGTAGCATCGAAGCGATCAATTTCTAACACAATACACGTGTCCTCAATTCATTCAACAGTTTACGATTTACAATTCAGTCCATATTCAATCCCCTGTTCTATCGAGTCTGTCCATACTATCTCATAGTCGCCAAAAGCAGAAGGCAATTCGTCTATTAATCCCCATGATGTCAAAGATGATATCAAAACAGTCAATCACATGTTAAACACAATTTACACATCCTCAGAGCACTAATTACAGAATATAATGGCACTGAGTAGTTATTTACGTAAGGCGTAATGAATTCACATACTTTTAGACAATCAGGGCTTTTAAAAGCTCCTTTGATGCTAATAACATCCACATAATACCAAAGAATGACATTCTGGTAAAACAAAGAAATAATCGTCTCGGAATCAAAGCACACCCGTTCATGACCGTCGGTGGCAAACTCGAGATCGATTAAACAAACCCACCCGTACAAAACCGTCGGTGGCAAAAGAGATATCTCAACAAGGGTGCTACATAGGCTTAACGTCCCCTAGCATGAAAGGACGCCCCAAGAATGTCATCAAAACAAACATAATAGCACTTATCATATCCTGGTTTCCCAAATTCTGATAACATTAAAGCACCTACTCTCCCATACAGGACATATTCTGATCAGTCAAGGACAAATGTTCAATACCATTTACAATCAAATCAATCCGTTTTCATCGGTTTCCATAACGTCAAATGAGCAAGAGCATGATAGCACACAAGCATTGTTTCTTACGACACCCAACCACTGGATTCGCACAACCCAGTTCATTTTTAACACAAATGTCCTCAATAGTTGAAGTTTGGTTCTCAACGGTGTTCATGGTTGGATCAATCTGTTGATAGCCCACCAAAGGTCTTTCAAATAAGTCAAGTATTCCAAATGGATTCAAGTTTTGGGTCTATCAGTTTTTTTGTCAAGAAAGTATTCCAAATGGATTCAAGTTTTGGGTCTATCAGTTTTTTTGTCAAGAATAATCTGGCTATTTATTTACAAGCAATCCTTAATCCCCCTTTTACAAAACCAAGTTAGATAGAGGGTTTTACCAAATCGAGCCTGGCAAAGGTCTTATCAAATTAAATCAAACAAAGGTCCCATCAAGTCACATCCAATGAGGGTTCTAACAAGGCCATATCAGTCAAAGGTTCTATTGGATCGAATCAGATAAAAGTTTTCTCAATAGGGTACATTCGGTTTTGTAAGGCATACTCCGTTTGCTTAGGAACATGGTTGATAGTTTCACAATTGTCCTAAGTTCATCAATCCTTAAAGTCATATCGGATTCATTCATCACATCCGTTCATATCAAAGTATTTCAAGTCAGGTACAATATAGCATTGCCCACATAAATTCAGGTATAGTTACGTATGCATGCAGTTATTCAGATCAGGACGTATATACCATAATCACTACAGTAGTTCCCAAACAAGTCTTATATGCAAATATATGGCGCATAATAACACATTAAACAAAGTTCCTCAGTTGTACATAAGATAGGGTCCGTTACGCAAAAATTCCAAATTAGTCACAAAACGTGGGTTATGAGTCGAGCCTAGTATAGTCACATAATCCAGTCAATTCTCTACCAATCAAAATACATGGTCTCACAACTTTAGAGTTCGTCTTTTAGGGTGCTCAACTCGGTCACACAATCACAGAGTCAATCAATATCTCAATACGTATTTCACAACTTCCCAAATGGAGCACGTATATATATTCAATAAATACAATCTCAATCTTGTGGGTCTGACAGATCCAGACACACAGGCGGCAAATATGAAAGGACATGCTGATCCGAATCAAACAATACCCCAAGCAAAGATGTACACACGCACTAATTCAGAATCAGTCACATATAGGCATTCGTTTAGAAATAGTATAGATACCTGGAATAATGGTTGCAACATTCTGAGTACTTTCTGAGATGAGTGCAATTACTGTATCTTGACTAGTAATTCCTACCATTGATACGAATCTAGCTGAGGCAGAAGATTTATTCACATTTTGTTCAGTTCGGGGACAGTTCCTTACTATATGGTCCGCTTTACCACACCTATAACGAACCCCAGAGATCTGATAACAAACTCCTCGGTGTTTTTACACTGGTGGTGGCAAAGGTTTTTGTCGTAGCGGCAACTGGCATTGTTGTCTTAAGATCTCGGCCATTTCCTGTACTATTCTTTCTAGTCTATCAAGTCGGGCTGTAGAAGAGCCTTCCAGCTCGTATGCCCTTAATTTATCCACACTCTACACAAATTCTTATTAAACCTTGCCAAACACTGGGATGCCCAATACAAAATAAACACAGATACACATGCATACATTCACACATAGGCACATCTAATCACATACGTAACAGATGATTGCACACTTATCAGATATCGCATGCTGAACATTTACTAAGTGGTTATATACTCAAGTCATGTTCATATTTCACATAGACACCCATTTGCAGAATCGAATGCACATAGGCAACTTTTCATGATTCATATGTTCATGTATGTGCATTATAACAAAACAAACTTGTTGTACACACTAGTGCAACAATTCATATCTCATATAATCACATACTCTCAACACCCGAAACACAAAACTAGGCATATGCATTGGCGTATAGCTATACAAAACATGCATTATTTGATCATGAATTATGAAGAAAGAAACAAGAAAGTCCCAAAACATGCATATTTCCAGTTTACAACAAGTCCCAAAAACGAATGCAAATAGGGCTACTCTATCATGCAAGAAAAGGCCTAAAATAGAGATTCAACACAAAGGGACAGCATCTGGCCTCCAAAAAAAAAGACCCCTTCAACAAAGTTGAAGAGGGGCTCAAAATAATACACTTTACAGTTTATGACCAAGTCCAAAATAGTGCACAAGTAAGCTTAAAACACTATGCAAAAATAGGCCTAAAAGAAGGTTTAAACACAAAGAGCAAAAAGGGAGCCTCAAACAGCAAAGGACCCCTGATCAAACATGAAGAGGGGGTCAAAATATGACTCTTTACAGTTCGGGTCGGAGCCCAAAAATACAAGCACAAGGAGCTAAAAAAACATGCAAACAAAGGGGCCAAAAGAGGGATAAAGAGGCAAGTGATAGAGGGAAGTCCCAAACAGTGAATAGCCCTTCAACAAAGTTGAAGAGGGGATCAACATAAGACAACTCATAGTTTATTGCAAAGCTCGAAACAGTTTACAAATAGGCCTAAAATACTATGCAAGAAAGAGGCCTAAAAGAGGTTTTTAACACAAAGTGTAAAAAATAAGCCTTAAATAGGGAGAAGTCCTTAATCAAACATGAAATAGAGCTTAAAATAAGACTATTTTCAGTTAGGGTCAGAGCCCAAATATGCGAGCACAAGGGGCTAGAATATAGATCAAAATAAAGCAAGAAAAGAGGAAAAGAAGACTTATCCTTGAAGAACCAATCTTTGACAGTCTTTGGACCAAGTTTGGGGACTCTTAAGCTCTGGAAATGGCTTTCAAGCTGCTGGAATGGAGTGAGGAGGAGGGGTGCTATGGGTTGTAGAGTAAAGGGTGTAGGAATGGTCCAAGAACAAAGGGGTTTTGATGTTTGGAATAGAAGGGAAGAGGGATTGAATGCAAGAGGCTTAGAACTAATTTTTATAACCCTAAAAACACAGCTGGGGGTGCTGGTTATATAGGCAAAGGAGTGGAGAAAAAAGGGAGGGAAATGAAATTCAAATTTCCCCCCAAAAATAGGCCTAAAAGAGGGATAAAGCGGCAAGTGGTAGCTGCTGGCCTCAAACCGAAGAGAGCCCTTCAACAAAGTTGAAGAGGGGCTCAAAACAAGACATTTTACAGTTTACATTAAGCCACGAAACAGCTCACAAATAAGCCTAAAATACCATGCAAAAATAGGCCTAAAGAGAGTTAAAGAGGCAAGTGATAGTAGGAGACCCCAAACAGAAAAAGGTCCTTAATCAAACATGAAAAGGAGCTCAAAATATGACTATTTACAGTTTGGGTCGGAGCCCAAAAATGCTTGTAAGAAAGGCTTAGATATAGAGCAAGATAGGAGCAAAAAAAAAGGAAAAGAAGCTTACCCTTGAAGACCAATGGACCAGCAGCTCTTGGTCAGAGAAATGGTGCTCCTAAGCTCTGAAAAACAGCTCCAAGTTGTTGAAATGGATGGTGGTGGGGTGTATACCAAAAACCGGGGCAAACGGAGGTGGTTAAGCAGTCCCGAACCGAGGCACACGGCTGTCGGCTCCGAAAAATCGGAAACCGGGCTCCAAACGGGAAAAATGGCCTACAACCACGAAACGTAGCCTACGGCCACTGAGAGATGATCTACGAGACCTCTCCCTCCCTTCGGGAAGAGAAAACAGAGAAAACAGAGCCTGATTCGTAAACCGAGGCAAGGCGCGAAAGAGTTCGGAAGTCCGGAGGCAAGGCTCGCAGCCGAGACTTTGAAACTTCTGAACGAGCACTATATGCAATATCACCGAGCGCTCAACTGGTGACATCTGAGTCTTAAGGTCGGTCAAAAATGGGGTGTCTACAGTTGCCCCTCTTTGACAGAACTCGGAAGTCGTAAGTGACGGGAGTGAATGTCAAAGCCCAGAGACGACCCATTTTTGATAAGGCCGAAGACTTAGACAAACAGGCGAGATAAACAGAGATGCGCCCGCAGGCGTGCCCGCAGGCAGGGGCAAAATGCAACCGACATTGCAAGAAGCCGAAGGTATCTCAATGATTATGCAAATGCAGCAAGCTGTAATGAAGCACATATTCACAATAGATGCAACAGTTTTAAGCAAGAATGCAAAGCAACAACTACATTACATGCAGAAAGGATAAAAGAAGATTATGCAATCTTAGCGAGCATGTGCGATAGGTACACAAAAGTGGACGAGGTGTGATAGATACACAGAGTGAATAAGCATGTGCGATAGACATACAAAGTGAGTGTAATGATAGATACACTAAATTGAACATGTAATGGACACACGAAGTGAACGTGTGACAGATACACAAAGTGTGATAGATGCACTGAGTGAACAAGTGTGATAGATATACTAAAGGTGAACACAAAGTGTGATAGATGCACTATGTGAACAGAGTATGATTGATATACTAAATGTGAACACGAAGTGTGATAGATGCACTTAGTGAACGAGTGTGATGGATACACAAAAGGTGAACACGAAGTGTGATAGATGCACTTAGTGAACAAGTGTGATGGATACACTAAAGGTGAACACAAAGTGTGATAGATGCACTATGTGAACAAAGTATGATTGATATACTAAATGTGAACACAAGTGTGATAGATGTACTTAGTGAACAGAGTATGATTGATATATTGAAAATGAACACAAAGTGTGATAGATGCACTATGTGAACAGAGTATGATTGATATACTAAATGAATGAAGTGAAGTGTGATTGATACACAACACGAGAATGTATGTGATAGATACACTAAAGTGAATACGTGCATGGTAGATACACAAAATGAGAATGTGTGTGATAGAGACACAAAAGTGAATGAAGTGTGATTGATATACTAAGTAAATGAAGTGAAGTGTGATTGATACACAAAACGAGAATGTATGTGATAGATACACAAAATGAAAGAAGTGTGATTGAGAGTGTGATTGATACACTAAATAAATGAAGTGAAGTGTGATTGATACACAAAACGAGAATGTATGTGATAGATACACAAAATGAAAGAAGTGTGATTGATACACTAAGTGAAGAGAGAGTGATTGATACACTAAATAAATGAAGTGTGATTGATACACTAAGCGAACGAAGAAAGTGTGATAGATACACTAAGGGTGAATGAGGTGTGATTGATACACTAAATGAAAGAAGTGTGATTGATACACTAAGTGAAGAGAGAGTGATTGATACACTAAATAAATGAAGTGTGATTGATACACTAAGTGAACGAAGAAAGTGTGATAGATACACTAAGGGTGAATGAGGTGTGATTGATACACTAAAGAAATGAAGTGTGATTGATACACTAAATAAAGGATCTCAAACGGAACTTCTTTGAATGAACCGTACATACAATATCGTGCATGAATGAGAAAGAAACTTGATAGGTACAATGCAATACAATGCATGATGTTTAAGGAACGCAATAAACAAGCGTAACGGCGTTTTAGAAAGCACCTCATGGGGTGAGTGGCGATGAACCGCTCTACTCTGATGGGGATCTCCCCTTGTGCTCTTCGAACACTTACCTTCAACTCACAATACAAATCTGAAATACTGACCAAGGATTTCCTTCCTAGAAACACTTTGGATGTTGCTTTCTTCACTGATCACATTCACAACTTTCCCTATTCTCCAACGGGGTGACAGACTAGGTTGGTTCAGTATCCAGAATTGAGGTGCATACATGCTATCTCAACCTATGGGGCTTCCATACAGATTTCAAGCCGAGGACATGCCTCTGGGTATTTAAACCAGACTTTAGTCTCGAAAATCCCGAACCTTTGCATTCTAGGCAACAGCCATTCGAACTCTAGTTTCCACCGTCGCAGTTGGTCTCCTAGGAACTCATTGCAAGCACGACCAAGATGCCCCTAGCAAGGACCGGTACTCGGGAGAGCACTTTTGATCGCCATTTTGGCTTGAAGTAGACTTGATCTTGAGCTTGAGGTAGAGGCACACTCGTACTTCAGAGCGATGGCAAGACCTGAAGAGGTACACACGGAATGTAGTCTCAGAACTTACTGAAGTTGAAACAAACTCAGATACCCGACATTTCCTCTTTTCTTTTGCTTTGTAGTCTGGAACCCATATAGTTTCAAATAGGTCCTAGTTTTACTATTCTGACATGACTTGGGTTGAACCCTGCGGTTTTATGAAAGAACAAATCTTGTTTTGCACAGATGTGGAGAACGACACGGCACTCGGAGCGCAAAATTTTATTTTGAAATTGATAAATGAGTTCTCGACCGGGTATTGAGCCTACGGC